CGTAAGCAAAGCAGTGTAAAAAAGCGCATGGCTGTTTTGGTCTAGCGCGATCTGCTACTAATTATTGCTCGATTATCCCTCATTAACCTGTGAGTAAAATCATGATTTTGGAAAAATCATGGTGACTTTTTTGGCAGTAAGGATTTGATGACAGTGATAAAACCATAAGTCCTGACAAAGTTTGTGGCTTGGTTTAGATTATCATAATAGTGATAACTAAATTCTGGGGTAAAAAATTATGTTTTGGATAAACAACTGGAGGCGTTGATTCAAGTTCTTTAGTAAGAAACCGAATCCTTCTTGTCACCTCGTTATTTATTTATTTTTGATGATAAAAACAAAGGAGATAAACGAGAAAGCAACTATATCCTAAATCTCGCCCGATACCACATAGAATAACGAACTGTTTGTGTAAAAACAGCAATAAATTTACACGATTGGCAGTTTCTGTTCTGGCAGCAATAGTTTGACGTGGATCCTGGAATTTCGGTATGGCTGCTCGACTTGCATTCAGCTCCTTCTCACTAAACTGCCGCCCGCCTTTCACTTCGGTAATAGCGTCACGATGTTTTCCTAAACCAACAAATCTGTTAATAAATCTTAAATGAATAATATGTTTAGAATTTACTGAGAGATGAGAGTCAGGAAATGGAAATCTCGCAAAAAAGAAGCATCACACACAACACTCACCAAATGGCTGGTTGTTTTTGGCATCTGGATTAGGTAGCGACCAAATCTTCAGGATACCCTCTGAGGCTTGATCGCCAACAAGTTTGTTGATATCTTTTTTCTTTTCACCTTCCTGTAATGGGCTGCTTATCAGACAATATCTTTAAAATATTATTCGAAATTCCCTAATTTGAAAACATTTAATAGTTTCGTTAGCGGGTTATTACAACACTTGTTATCATTTAGGCCGCTTTCGCATGCTAGCTTTCGAAGAAAACGAATTACGAAAGATCTTTGACAATGATAAATTCATTTCGGCATCCCAAAGTACAGCTTTTGCAACTCGAATAGTGGCCGTTTTTCCAGGCAGCACATTTGTCGAGACAAGACATCAAACGTGGTTCAAACCTCCCTTCCTGTTTTTGTCCGTAACTAGGTTCAAATTTAGGGTATTCCAGAACCAGAAAGAAGTAAAAAGGCTACAAACTAGTAATGTCTGAGAAAATTACGACAAATATTTCTGTATAAACACCTTAAAAAAAACGTCACAATTTTCAAAGTAGACTGACCCTGTCCTGTACTTTGATGGCATGTTCTCGAATTCCACCGAATGGTGTGAGGCCCGCTTGAGAAGCGAGCTCCTTGTCGTGCAGCGGAGGACAATTCATCCACGGCACCACACCGTCGTTACTGTCGCTAAGCTGTCGACTGCTTTTGACTGTCGTTGCTGCAATTAGTATTAATCACTGGTGGTCCTGCTCAATGGTACCAAAGACCTCAAGAGAGGTTTTTTTTCCACTTTCAAATATTTCAAAATGTTGAGGACAATAATTATGCAGTACAGTGGCATAATGCAAGGGGAAGATGCTGTCCAGTCTGCCTCGCACCTTCCTCCCTCTTTCAACGGCCAGTACAATCAAAGGCTAACTCTCGAAAGAGCAAAAATTAAGTTGCAAAAGTGCAAAATTCGTCCGCATGCGAACCTAGACGAACTGGTAATCGCTAGGAATTATTTTTCCCTCACCTTCCTCTCTGCACGACACCTCGCTCTGTTTATGCTCACTGCTTGTTCTAGAGATTCATCTGAAGGAGATTAATTTGGTGGGACCACTAGATTTTGCCAAAAAGTGGGAGCAAAACATTTCTCCGCTGAGCCGGTATGTCATATTTTGTTTGCAGTGAAGTTCGGAAAAACGAGCAGCTTGAAATGATTCCAAA